TCTCTCTCTCTCTCTCTCTCTCTCTCTCTCTCTCTCTCTCTCTCTCTCTCTCTCTCGCGCGCGCGCGCGCACGCGTGTCAGCACAGGTGGCACTGTGCGCTTCCACATGGTTCATCAGTTCGAGTATTCTCTCCCTCCCTCTCTCTCTCTTTTCAAACGGACGATGGCACCTCTATCCAAAAATTCGAATAATTCAACATGCTTTGTTTTGCTTTTTTTTTCTTATCCCTTTGCAAACTCCACCGGTGGCTTTTTTTTTCGTTTTTTTTTTCCAAAAAGAAATCCAGAGAACCCGACATGTATACTCAGTGTTACTCACTATTACTCAGCTTACCAGATTTTTCGCAAATTCCACCGTAATGCCCCCCCCGCGCCCCAAAAATAAAAATCGACCCATGGCTCAATTGTATTTTCAGCAGAGCAAAGCACCTTCACTGCACAGTCTTTTTTCCACCTGTGCTTTGTTTTTCATTTTTTCTGTTTCTCTTGCAAATTCTACCAGATTTTTGGAACAAGGCCTCGATCATATTTTCAGGAAAGGAAAGCGCTGTCACCGTGCCCCCTTTTTTTTTTGCGCGAAAAAAAAAACACGAAAAAAAGAACAGGACAGCGTGATGGTTTCTGCATCAGGGAAAAGCGCTTTTTCTTCTGGACGAGGAAAAAGCTCTGTGGCAAATTCGGCCAGTGCTTTTTTTTCTCAAAGGAAAATCTGCACGGCTCAACAACAACACTTCCTTTCCCAAAGAAAATCCAAACGTCCGTGGAGATGAGATGAATGAAAAGGGTCGTGAAATTGTCACATTTGCCCTGATTTTGTGATTTCACCTTTCTCCGCTTTCAATACCTGCTGTTTCGACAGTTCTTGCCGCAGCGTAGCTCCAGGGGTCCCCTTGTCGTAATAGAAGACATGATCAAAAGAGATTGCTGCACCTCCAACACTGAAATTTAGCAAATTGGGAAAGTGGTCGGTTCCTCAGGGTAGATTCTAGGGCAGAAGCCTCTTTTCTGCCTCTTGCACCAACACGCCACAACTCTTCCTTCACCTTCCCCTACTGCATCCTCTCTGTGCTGTCCTACTTACCCAGACCGGATTACCTTTCTGAAAACTCTGCTGTAAACAGCAGTCCTCTCTTGGGCTTGTGTTGTTTACTGCCGCCCCCTCGATCACCTCCTCATCATCGCCATCGGCTTCACGACATCATCCTTCCCCACCTTGTCTTCCTCGTTCTACCCTTTTTCTTAGTTTGAAAGGGCGATGGTCTTGAGATGTCATCACTGAACGGACCGGCCCCAGGTAATTCAAAAATATTTCATTCTGTTCATATGATTGCATCTAAGATTCGAACTTGACTCTGTATTTCAAGAGTTCATGGGTGTAATAACTGAGCTAGACCCATTTCCTTTCCTAAAGTCTATTCCTAATGCTGGTTCAACTCCATTTTGTGGCTATGTTGGGGTTTCCCCAAAAACTGCTTTCCAAAGGTCTTTGTCAGAGACATGAACTGGACCATATTCTTTTCAACTGAGGGCCATTGTGACGAAGTCTGGGAGCACACGGATGTATTTCGAACGACCAATCTTGACCCAGGCTTCAGCGGCATGTTCTGAACGAGGTCCACTTAAATTATTTGGAGAAGAAAAAGAAGTCGCAGCTTGTATCTATGGTTTACAGGTTCTTGCATCCATCTGGACAATGGTAGAATGACAGCTGTTGAAGAAAGCTGCTGTGCAGTACAGTCATTTTCTCCCCCCTCTTCTGTTGCCTGACAATGGGCATCGTCATGTGTGTGATTGCAGGTTGGTATGAGAGATCCCCCAAGGGAGGGTGTTTGTAGTGCGATTGAGACCTGCCGCTCTGCAGGAATCCGAGTCATTGTTGTCACCGGAGATAACAAGGTAAGAACTCGAAAATAGAGTATGAAGCAAGCAGTGAGATGTGGAATGATGCTCTGCCTTGGCGGTAGATAAAAGTGGGAAGACATTCGTTGTGCAATCAACACCTGTTGCTCGGCAGGAATCGGAGTTCGTAATGTTAAGGGAGACAAGATGGTAAAACTAAAAAAGCAGTATGTAATTACCTGCAAGGAATCCGAGTTGCGACGAATGAGCCCTTGTGGTGCCCTTATCAGACATGCACATGTTCTGGGCTGTGGCCCCCCAGCAAACCCTGTGCCCGCCCTAGGTGAAGACGGACCTGAATATTCACAAGAGGCCAAAATTTGACATTTTTCATATGTGGGTACTCAGACAGTTGTAGCACGCCAGTTGGTTGAAGTGCAACGCCAGCCTCTCCCTGGGCTCCTTCCAGAAACAGCTGCTGCATCAAGAAGTTGAGCCCAGGCAGGGTGGTTGCGCCCTGGGCACACGCAGTGCGAGGCCTACACATCACGAAGTGGCCGTGGGGGAATCAGAAAGCAGCATTGTCATCACAGAGGCCCAGTGAGCCAATGAGAAGACAGAAAACACTTGGAGCGTGGAGGCTCCCTGGAAGGTCCCAACCAGAAAGAGCCCAGGCCCGCCACTGTCGGACAGGGCCTGGACGCAGAGACTGGGGCCCGACTGGAAACCTCTCCAGCCAGGCCCAGGGGCTACACTTGCCATAAAGGAAAATGAGCTGCCCAGTGGAGGGCATTCTGGCCTAGGCAGGCAATGTGGACACGCTGGTGCGTTGCTGCACAATTGTCTGCATGCGCGCTGCTGGCTGGGGCACATGCGGGCGCTATGAGGTGAGAGGGGCGCTGCAGGGCAGCTGGCGCACAGCAGCCATAGCCAGGCTGCAGGAGCGCATGGCTGCCGGGCTGCAGGGGCGCATGCGGGTGAATGGGCGAAGGTGGTCTTCGGGTAAGAGGCGCATGAGTGGGTGGTCAAGGTCTGATGAGGGGAGGAGAGAGAATGTACCTGGTGTATGTTGGAGGGCAGTATTGGTGCTGACGTCAGGTAAGTTGGTCTTCAACGTCGGAGTGATCCTGTTGCAGGAATGTAGATAGGCTAGATAGGCTCAGTAGAGTAAGCAGGGCGCTGAGCGCCATACAGAGATGAGCGATATTGGATACTGTGTTGGTGGGGCCTGAGGGGGATAACATTGGCACATGAGTTCACTGCGTTGCTCTTATTTGGATGGAATCTGGGTGCATTTAACCTCTCTGCTTGGTACATGGCTATCTAGACTTCTGTGTGATTTTGCAACTTGGTTTTCTGTCTATCCCTCTTGCTCGTATTCCTTGTAGAGTTCTTAATAACCCTCAAAAATTGGAGACTGAGTAATCTGGTGTTTTCTGAGTATTGCTGCTTGTGCGCATGATTTGCTGAGATTCCGATGTTCTTCTGTGTTCTGCTGTGTGGCTGAGTGAGTGTGTGCAGTCTGAGTGCCTGCTGATATCTGTGTTCTGTGTGCATCCTCATTTGACTGAGATCTTGCACATGTGTGTGGGACCCGCTGATGATGGTCAGTGTGCTGAAATGGCGCGCGAGCCTTGTACTAACCTGTGGCCTCTTTTGGGTAGATAGCAGCGAGTAGGGTAACAGAAAAGGACGAAAAGGTAGGCCTAGCTAGAATTTCGGAGTCGGGTAGGCGTAGGGGTAGGTACCGGACTAGTTAGGCTAGGGTCTAGAGTCTGTAACAGGGGGATATCAGACTGCAATGATGCTGCTGCTGCGAAAGTCGAGGGAATGGGTTTAGAGCCGGTAAGAAGGGATATATCAGGCTTAGGGGTAGGCATCGGACTAGTTAGGCTAGGGTCTAGAGCCTGTAACGGGGAGATATCAGACTGCAATGATGCTGCTGCGAAAATCAAGGGGAATGGGTAGTCCTCGGATGCTGCACATGGCTTGGAAGTTACCGGAAGGAGAGGTGCCCGTGGTCGTGGTATATCAAGAGAGGCAGAGAAGCACGCAGCCTTTTTTGCATGCGTGCAACTTGGAGGCACGCTGCTGGGGCAACCGCCCGGCTAGAACCGCGCTGGGTGGAGGAAGGAGGCGGAGCTTGGCCCCCACCTCGGCTATGGTGGAAGGGACCAAGGTCGAGGTGGAGGAAGATGTTATGATTCTGGTTGTTTGTTGTCTGAGACCAACACTCGCACACATAGACTTCCGGGTATGCCCATACATACACAGAAGGAAGGGGAGAGGATAGGAGTATCACACCGCACAGGGAGAGAGAAACACAGCGAAAGACAGGGTACACTGAAAGTGCAATTTTGAATTTACTCCACTCAATCCTCTTTTTTTTTTTTTTTTTTTTTTTTTCCCTGTTTTACCTGCCGTTTCCGGCCTTTTTGCCTTATCTGTTCCCCCTGTGGTTCCTGTTCTCGATAAGTTTCTGCTTTTGAGAGTGCTTAGAACCATGTCCAGATGGATGGAACAGACGCCTTGAGGCTAGATGAGGGTGGACAGGGGCTAAGGAGAGGAGGGGACTACACTGGTGCCCCCCAGTGCCCCCCCCCATTCCCTGGCCCAGTTGCAGGATAGGTTGGCTGAGATTGCTTCAGTATGGGACGCTGGACCCGATTTCCAGCAATGGCGTCGCTTCTAATCATGTACTGTAAGTCAATGTGTTATCTAAGGGACGCCGGACCCGGTTTCCAGCAGGTGATGCTCCCCACCAATAGATGGAGCGGCCCACCAGGCAAAGCCTCAATCCCGGTGGTTCTCTTACCACCACCAGGATGAGATCACATCCAGGAAACAATGAAACGATGATAGTCCAAACCCAGTATTACACTGTTTAATAGAGAAGACAAGGTAAAAGGGAACGTTAGGAAACACGTAGAAATCCAGGAGGTGCCTGATTTCTCCCTGCTTGTCAAAGGACACCGGTAGGCCCTTGACAACAGTCGTGACCCTAACTGTGGAAGAGTCCCCAATGCGAACCCCTATAGGCTGTCGCAATTTCACCAATCTTTGATCCAAGTGCAGCTTGATGACTGCCTTGGGAGATATGAAGTTGCGAGTAGCCCCACAGTCTAAGCAGGATGAGTTCTGACCTGTGTTTTTTCTTCTCCTGCAAGGACAGGAAAAGATTAGCAAGGTACTGAGCATAATCCTCCTCCCACGTCTCATCCAACTCGGAGTCCTCTAAAGCGAAGGACCTTGAAGATGCAACTCCCAGAGAAGAACCAGCGAGATAATGTGAAGATTCACATTCATCAGAAAGTGAATCAGCACTGGTGGAAAGAGCTGCTGCTTCCACCTCTCTCTGCTCTAGTGTTTTTAACTAGAGCTGCCTGTGGACCAGCGAGGCATGTTGGGACAGTCTTTTAAGAAGTGGTCCCCCTCGCACCTCAGGCAGACACCCTTGTCCTTTCTCTTTCTCCAGACCCCCTCCTGGATCCTGAGTGCATGCCAGGGGAAGGTGGAAGGATCAAGGGGGTCAGCTGGCCAATGAACGTCTCGTGGTAGAGGTACTCTCTGGGCACTAGGGGAAAAGGCACGTCCCTTACCTTTCCCCTTGCTGCGGGTTGGTGCTTTTTGGGCTTTACCCCTTGCCATGTCCATCAAAGCATCAGCCAGGGCAAGAACAACAGGATCTGCAGCAGATGAGGACGCAGTCCCAGATGGAGGGGTCCCACCCTGGGATGCTGCGTCATCATCTGAACTCGAAGCTGCAGCAGCAAACAGGGTACCCTTCCTCCTCCTTCGCCCCTATGAGGAGGGTCCCTTCCTTCAGAAGGTGCTTCCTGGACATGGAGTTTGGACTCCAGGGCTGCTGTGCCAAAGGACCGCCAGTCCTTGTGGCCATGAGAGAATAAGGCAAGCTGGAATCGCTCAGGCACTGCCCTGAGGAAATGAATGAGCAGATCTTGCTCACTCATCTCCAACCCAGGAGTCGATGTCAGACTCTCAAAGGTGGAGTACAGTTTGGACAAGGAGCAATCAAACTTTTTTTGGCCAAGGCGTAAAATTTTGTCTGCTGCTTTTTTGGCCTGCTCCTTGTCTGCAAACCGGTCCTGCAGTGCCTGCAGAAATCCAGCCACCCCCAACCTCTGCGCCCAATCAGACATCTCCATTCCTTGCTTGTTGGAGGTAGAGGTGCACCATTTCAGTGCAGTCCTCTCCAGGTGAGCAAGGATGGCTGACACTTTCACATCCTCGTCACATTTGAACCCACTCAGGTAGGTTCTTTGTGTAGTGACCCAATCTGCAACATCCACCTTGGGGTCCTCGCCAGAGAACATGGGTGGAGGGGTCAACTTGGGGCGCTGAAAATCAAATGAAGCAGAAGGTTGTGAAGCGGTTGTTGACTTGGGTGTAGAAGATGGGGATGTGGGTCTCGATTGTGGGAGTGGCTGAGGGCCTGCTTGAGAAGGTCCAGGGGATGGAGGCAAGGTCAGGGTGGTAGGGATCTTCAAATGAGCAAAGATCTGATCCAGTTTGCCAGAGATGTCATCCAACTTTTTAGAAAAAGTTGAGTGGCTGCTCCCCAGACTGGTAATCCGGTCGTCCCAGTTAGTAAAATAAGAACGGTGAATATCATCCTGCAAGAGGATGAACTCAGCCATGTCCTTATTGTACTTGTTGGAAGGACCACTCACCCTAATCTTCTCTGCATCTGCAATCAGCAGTTTTCGCCTGGCCTCCTTCCGAGCTGCTGCTTCTTTTTTTTTCAGCTCAGCCTTTAGGGACTCAACTGCTTGGGCCCGCTGGCGGAGTTTCTCCTCCCGGGCCCGCAGTTCAGCCTCTAAAGGGTCAAGTGGAATCTGAGGCTCCACATCAGAAGCCTCCCCCTTCTCAGCATTTGCCATTTCCACAATTCAGATAAATAAAAACAAGTGGACCCGCCGCGGCTCCGCCCGCGGCGAAAAGGGCAGAGAGGGTGAGAAAAGTGGCGGAAGGGAACAAAAGATGACCATCTCGCCATCCCGACTTCCTCCCCTCCCTGTTCCGACGATCAGACGACT